CGGATAGTCCTACGGAACAAGTTCGATCAGCAGGGAGCAATAATTCGAAGAAAAGCTCGAATCGTCGCAAGAGGATTCTCTCAACGTCCCGGCATTGATTTTCAGGGAACGTTCGCTCCGGTGGCACGCATAGGATCAATCCGACTAATCGTGGCTCTCGCTGCTCGACTCAAGATGACAATCAACCAGTTGGATGTTGCTACCGCCTACCTGAACGGAATACTAAAGGAGGACGTATTTATGGAAGTCCCACGATTCACAGAGAAGATTTTAGAGCTGATTATTCAAACTGAAGATACCAATGGTTCGATCTTCAAGAAGGCATCGAGGCTGCTCAACGATGTCAGAAGCGGAGACAAGGTGTGTCGACTCAAGAAGGCACTCTACGGCCTTCGTCAGGCCGGCCGCTGTTGGCATCAAACATTGAGCGAAGCGCTGTTCGCCTTTGGCGCGACACAGTCATCCGCCGATCCCTGCGTGTTCTATTGCGGACACGGCCAAAGCATACTATTAATCGCCACCTATGTCGACGATATCATCGTCGCCTCGCGAGATCAAAACGACATAATAAAGTTCACCGAATTCTTATCCAAGAAGTTCGAGGTTAAGGACCTAGGAAGAATGAAGTACTGCCTCGGGATAGAATTCTCCCAAGACGAGGATGGAATTTCCATGCATCAACAGGGATACGTCCAGGATATCCTACGCCGTTTCGGTATGTCCGAATGCAAACCCGTGTCTACTCCACTGGAGCCAGGAACTAAGCTCGACAGGAGGGACCCCAGCCCAGAGCTCGACGCGAAATCTTATCCTTACAGGGAGCTAATCGGAGCGCTGATGTATTTGGCTGTCTGTACTAGGCCCGACTTGGCTTTCGCGGTCAGCTACCTCAGTCAATTCGCCGACTGCTACGACTTGGCGCACTGGACCGCTGCCAAGCGCGCTCTCCGGTACTTGAAGGGCGCACCCGGGTACGGTCTTCGATATGAAAGAACCTCGTCAAAGTTGACGGGGTTCGTGGATGCAGATTGGGCCGGCTGTCCGGATAGCAGAAGATCTCACACCGGGCACGCATTCATCCTGTCTGGAGGTGCCATATCCTGGGAATCGAGAAAGCAGAAGACGGTAGCCCTATCTTCTACCGAGGCTGAGTACATGGCGCTAA